TCTCATCTTCTTCCAGTAGAAGCATTTGTTTCTTGAATCCGGTGGGTATTTTTGATTACCACTGTATAAGTACCTACAGACTTATAATAAGCAGCCTCATTATTTGGGATTTAGCCTGCTGCACAAGGAGTGCTCTGACTGTGACAAGACTTTCTACACAGTCTTTTTCCTATCCTTCTGCTAATATTCTGTTACTGCCTTTTTCCTTCTCTTTCCTCTCTCACTCCAACCTTTCACCTCTCTAAAATTAAACAAGAACAGATCTGATTTTGGCAATAACATCACAAACAGTGTGCAGCAGCTGCTGAACTGTACTACTAAAAAAATCCTATTGTGATTTTTCTACACTGCCAAAGCTCAAGGGGACAAGGAAGAAGGGACTTTTTTGATGAACTTAGAACAAAAAACCACAGAGGTGCAAGGAGCAAAAATAAGATTGACGATCTGATTCTTGGTTTTGTCAAGGAAGATTAAAGTCTGACAGTAGGGAAACAAAGATGTTGGGGCAAGGGAGAAAGGAAATATTAATAAAATGGAACGATTTTTATATGTTTAATTTCACTGCAACTGTATTTATGATGTTAGTAAGTACAAAGATAGTTTAATAGAAATACTTCATGTAACCACTACTGCATTTGGAATCCTTTCACTACTGAATTAATATGAAGTCCAGGAGAGATCTTCCTAGAAAATTGTTAGCAGTGTTGAATTTTTCAGTTTCTTATATAGCTTACTGCAAGTACAAGCAGGTGAAGAGAAGAACTGGGGCCAGCAGAGTTACACAGTGCATGATCAGTGCTCATCGAAAGCACTGTTTGTCAGTTTTGTAGGAATGTGGTCATGCATGTAGGTGGCCCAAAGTGGAAGAGGAGAGTGAGGAAGATCACAGAACTGAAACAAGAGGAGACAAATGAAGAATGAGGTCAGGAGAGTCATAGTTATGGTCTGGTTTGATCAGAGAGCAGCATGAAATGGGCACATGCCCATTTAGTCTTGACGGCAGCTCTTAGGGCTTTATTCACTCCAGTGAGAATGGGGTAGATCCTGCAATGAAAGATCTCTCCGGTTCTGCAAACTTTACCAGGCAGGACTGATAAAGTTTTTTCAGTTTCTTTCAGAGCAAAATGCTGTGTTTCTCAGTGTGTGACCTAGTGTCTGGTATTGGCTTTTTGGCTCACTGATCTATGAAAGGATTTTAGATAAAACAGCTGCTCAGTAGGGACTCAGCTTGAAAAGATTTATACATTTTATACAGTTCTTTTACTTTCCCAGAAGGAAACACTTTGCCTTCACAAGGGAGAATGCCTCTATTTTTTTTTAGGTTCTGTGTAATATGGCTTGTTTTGGTACATATTTACGGATCTGTAGTGATGTTTTGAATCTAGCTGGGTTCCTCCTTGCTTCTGTAAATAATGGAGCACAGTTCTGAGTTACTTTTACCAAAACAGGGTAGGCATTGCACTTGTTTTTCTGTTGAAGAGTTCCTCGACTTTAGGAGCTGCTTTTTCCTCCATCTTTTTTTGCAGACTTCACTGCTGCTTGCACCAGCCTGCAGCACGGTACTGTTTGGCACAGTATTCACTTCATGAAAAAAGCAAACAAACCACAAATGTAGTTAACTGTTAGTATGATGTCTCTCCTACAATCCAGGAGGGTGGCTAGGACTATAGAATAAGATAGATCTCAACAAAGAAATGGAAAAGAAACGACTGTTCTGTTGTGGGAAGGACTTGCAATGGCTTGGTTGTTATCCAGGTAGCTTTGAAGAAAGCCAGTTGTTCTGAGGGAAGTGCTCCTCCTTCAACCCAACTGAAAGAGAAAAAAATGCCAAATCTAGAGTTAATGGAAGTGTATTTTTTTAAATACTTGTTTTATGTGACTGTTGATCTATTCTGTCTATTCTAAATGCATAATTTGATGGGAAGAATAGAGTTTTTAAAAATTGGTGACCCTCAGAATGATTGAGAGCTGCTAGTAGGCAAAGTATAGTTCTTAATTGTCAAAAACCTTGTATGGGAACACTGTGAGAATTCTGCTTTGAAGGAAATCTGATATTATGGATATTTCCTATAGCAGGTGGTATTTATACTGTACATATATTTTCATCCTTCCAAAAATCTGTCCTGAAATAAAAATAGTAGATTTCCAAGTCTGTCATTTGCCAGCAATAGCTTTGACTCTTCCACTTTCCCCAGTATTACAATTGAATTTATTTGTTTAGGAGGTATTTCTTTAATCAGCATAGAAATTATTTCTGTTGCTTTTTTTGAATTCTGTTTTACTTACAGTTTCTTGATGCATTTTTCCACAGGTAAGCCATGGCGGTGATACAGAGAGAAGAATTTGTGTCATTGATGAGATTGGTAAAATGGAACTCTTCAGCCAGGCTTTTATTCAAGCTGTTCGTCAAACGTTGGCTGGCTCAGGGACTGTGGTGCTTGGAACTATTCCAATACCTAAGGGAAAGCCACTGGATCTTGTTGAAGAAATAAGAAGTAGGAAAGATGTTAAAGTGTTCAATGTGAGTAATATTTAATATCCTTAAAGAGCTTTCTGTTCTAGGTTACTGGTTTGTATTTGGCTCTGTTTAAAAACTGTTGCTACCAATTGATAGCTGTGGGTAGCTTGTATGAAATAAGCTTTTTAGTTTCCATTTTATTCTTAATGGGCAGGTGCTCACATTATTAAAAAAAAAATCCCATTTGGCACTTGATGTAGCAGGCTCACACAGCTGGCTTTGCTTGTGAGGGGCTGCAGAAGTAATGATATAGTTGTGTTAAAAGGTTTTCTTGCTGTAGTATTATTGCTGCATAAGTATTCATTATTCCTCAGAGTTAAATCTTTTAAAGTACAGTCAGATTTTTAAGCTCTTTTTTTTTTCCCAGACTGGTTTGCAGAAGTATTACCAGTAATCGTATTCATAAAAAAAAGGCAGCAGTGGAGTTTGCAGAAATGATTTATAGAAGAGAGACACTTGTAAATGGACTATACTTTCTCTGGAGTCAGTGAACCAATTTTGGAATTCATTATGCTATTTTTACAGACATAATTTTCAGAATATTAGGGCCTCAAAGTGCATTTCTGATCAGTTACAGGGAAGGTCTCAAAAGCTTACCACAAGGTTTTGTTCATAGGAATACATGCATGAGGTTTCCTTAACATCTCTAAGTGTCCTGGATACTTCACAAAATCAAGCTAAACGCATCCCCCACTCCTTTGACCTATGTTTCCTCTTCAAAGTTAGGTTAAAAAAGCTGCAGTGCTCAGAAAAGTTCCTCAGCTTTCTTTTAGTTGGGGATCCCATCATCATCTTCAGTTTCTGTTTTTACATTAAATGCCAGGTTAATTAAGTGCTAAAGCAATTGTAGGAGCAACTTGGAGAGGCTATTCCTTTTCTTTAATATTAGCATTCAACTCCTGCTCTTCCTTTCAGAGATGAAGCCCCAGGTTTTCTACTACCAACCTGCTGAATGTTCACTGTCAGGCTATTGAACAGAGATGCACGTGAAGATGAGCTCAGTTGGTTAAAGCACAGCACTAGTAATGCCAAGGTTGTGGGTTTGATCCCCACAGGGGCCATTCATTTACCAGTTGGACTTGATGATCCTTGTGGATCCCTTCCAGCTTGGAATATTCTGTGATTCTGTGATATGAACATGAATTTTGTATGACTTGCTGTACAGTGGTAGGACTGGGGAATAGAGAACGGAGAAGCCTTACTGAAAGCAACAGTCACTCAATGCTTAGGCTGCAGTCACAGCAGGAGAGTCGTGTGTGCATTTGGTACTCTCGGGAGGAAACGGAGTGCTAGAAAATAGCATTTGGCTTTTCAAGGAAGCTTTTGAGGCTCCTGTTGTCTCTTTTTATCAGGTGGTGTTCCAAGGGCATGTGCTACTCAGCACTGGGTTTTTAGCTGTGTCAGTGTTCTGACACATCCTTCTCCCAAGTACTGACTGCAGCCAGAAAAAGTATTTCTGTAAGTTTCAACAGAGCAGTGTTTTCTCTAGCTAAAAATTTTTTACTAAAAAAGTGACCCATCCTGTTTATGCTGCTGAGATTAGGACATGCAGGTTTCTTTGATTAAATGGAGTTCTCTGATGAATCCATTAGCCAAAAGCACAGATGTGAAATGTGTAACAGACTGCAGTCATTCCCCGTGACACAGACCTGCTATGCTGAAGTCTTGTGCAGGAGAGCATCTGTCTCTCTTGCTCCAGTGACACACTATATGCTTTTTCCCAACTGGTTAAAACATGTGCATGACCAGGAACAGAACTGGCCTGTGGGGAGTCAGAAATGTTAGTAGCTGAAGTGAATGTTGAATCACGAGCTCACATATTCTTTGAGGACTGTGGCATGGGGAGAACCTGGAGTGTCCAAACAGTTCATGGTCAGTAAGTTCTTACTAACTGTTATGGTGCCTGGACGTGTACAGATGTAGGAGACTACCTTCCAAAACCATGCTGGCTGCTTCATCACTTAAAATGGAGATTGGCTGCGTTCAAGTAGCTCAGCAAAGTTTTTTCATCGTTCTCTTAGTGTCACAAGGACAGTTCTGATGTTTGATGCCAAGAGCACAGAGACAGCTGTTTGGGGTTTTACAGTCCCTTCTGTCTTGAAAGCTTATTTTGTTGGTGAATGGGCCCAGATGCCCTAAAAGCAATTGAACATTTGTTCTCAAATGTTTAATTTATTATGTTTAGGGCACTTAACGATAGGAGCTCTGATATTTAACACATTTCTTTCCATTGTTGCCCAATTCCATTTTGCTGAGAACTAAACTTTACAGTGAAACTACAGAGGCTCTTTTTGCACTGCATGTGTCTGTGTAGTTTTGCAGACATGGTGTCATGAACAGGATCAGGTTATCCTTAGCAGCTGGCAGATACTAATTTTCTCCCATTTTCCCCATCTAGTAATTTTGCCTCCGTGAAACCCATTAGTGAAGTTTGGTTGCATATGCCTATTAAGAAAGAAAATAGCTGAATGGATGAGACAAAAAGGTTCCATTTGAACAGACTGTAGATGAGCAGTTTCCTTCACAGTACTTTTAACAGGGGAAGAAGGCTTTTGTCCTCTGCAGTTGCATGCTTGCAGTCTAGGTGGTAATTTCCTCCACATTACCTAAATGCTTAGTATAAGCAGCATCTACAGGTTTTTTTAACTCCCTGTCTAAAATTGTACCCATCTGTTTGTACATTCAGTACAGATACTGGGAGATTTGTTCTTTCTGGGAAAGCTGCCTGCACAGAATGTCTCCAGATCTTAAGAGGGGACTTATATCTATAAAGCAGCGTTTGTAAAACAGTTGTGAAAATTTCCCAGTGCTTGGCACTGTCTCTCTGCTGCTCTCACTGGACTTCTGGCATGTAGGTATGGAAAAGGGATAGATAAAATGTAGTATCGTTTTTGTTGGCTGTGAGAGAGTGGGAAGAGTATTAAATGTGCAGAAGGTCCTTTGAAAGTCAGGATATCAGTACACTTGCTGTGAGATTTAGAGTTTGGCTTATATGTGCTGTTTATTGTTTACTTTGGGGTCTCTCAATAGCCTTACTGAAGAGCATTCTTTGTTGTCTTGCTCTCTTTGTTATTGTGAGGTTTTTTGTTTATCTTAGAACAGGCTTGGAATGATTCTCAGTAAAACCAGTGACATTTTCAGGCAGATCTTCCCTTTCATTACTCCCCCCCCTCCTTTTTTTTCTAATGTCACTTATTCATTAGTCCCATGTTGATCTGCTGTCTTGAATTCAAGTGGGGTAGGTGAGACCATTGTCTGTAGCTTTTACAGACAACACAGCTTTTACTGTGTTGGTTTCCAGCATTTGGATAGGATGTCTGTGACTGTAAATAATGGTATGCTCCTAGGGTCAAATTCTTGAGGTAGGGTTGTCACCTATTGAATAATAATAATAACAATATTTCCTCCTGTTCATTATTGACTGTAGTACTAGGAGGGATACAAACTCTTGTGCTCACATCTTAAATGCAGATAACAGGGAGTGCAGTGAAAACCTTGCTGGTAGAGAGTTTTATGCTGTGCACAGTGTTATGTCTCTCCTTTCTTGTCAAACAGCTTTTCTCCAACTTTATAGGCATGTCCTTACTCTTTTTTTTTTGGCTCATCTGTCTTTGTCTGATTTTTTTCCTGACCTCTCTGCAGAGGTCTGAACATTGGGAAAAATTTCTTAGACTTTTTAAAATGAGGCTTTTGCTGATGCTTTGCAATTGCTTCTTAGCCCTTTACCACCCCAGTCATCTCCCAGGTTTTGTTTGAGTTAGTAATGCATGGCACTGTGGGTCACTGGGCTCTGGATCAGGACCTGGTCTGTCAAGAAGGGCTCATTTACACACCCAGAGCCCCCCCCAGCTCTATGCCCCCAGGAGCTGAGCTTACTGGCAAGCACAAGCATTTGGTTGGCAGTTTACAGTAATCTGTATGTGCTGGAAAGCAAAAGGACAGGGCACTGGACTACATGGATTTTCACATATGCTGGTCTTAAAGCCCAGCATTCCATGGACTGGTCAACCGAGGCTGTTTCTCAGCATGCTGCAGAAGACCCCAGCTTTCTCAAGTACTCTTATTTCTTTTTGGAGGTGTTTCTGTCCTGCAGTACTAAGGTTTCTCAGAGTGCAGAGGTATGCTTCTAAGCCTGTTTTAAATTTTTTTTTCTTTGCGGATGTTTTTGGCTGGGTCTGTCATCTTAATAAATACAACCCTTGCAAGTAACAAAGGCGTAAGAACACTTTATAGTAGGAAAGTTAAATTTGGTGGTTGAAAATGATTCTAGTAATGACAAAAGTACATGCCGGTTCTTTGAGTGATTCTTGTTAGTTACTCAAGCCCTGAATAATACTGCAAAATGCCATGGATAATTAAATCAAAAAGATCATTGAATATTCAATTATGTATGTTTGTGGGTTTAGTATATTGTGTTCTCAGTAGCAGAAGAAGGCAGGTGTTTGACACTCAGCATTCCTGCACTGAAAAAGAAACGCATTTGAATTTCTCCTTTGATTGTTTTGAAGTAAACACTGGTATAGAGGCTATTCATCAAATTACATCAGTTTTAATTTCTCTTTCTCTAGGTTAGTAAGGAAAACAGAAACAGCATTTTGCAAGACATCTTGGCAGCTGTGGAATCCTGCAGAAAATGAAGACCTTTTCTTTCCTGTAAACACTAAAGCTTTTATTTCAACAAAACATTTTGCGGATGTTTTGGAGTCTGTCTTTCCTGCTTTAGGCCCTGGAGGCTTTACTAGAGCCTTCAGGGTAGCAAGGTAAAGCTGGTAATAATCTAAAATGTGAAAATGAGATAGCGGGATTTGTATTTATTTAGTTCACCAAATCCAAAAAATTGAACAGAGTTGTAGCTACATCCAGTTCTAATCGGGGTGTTCAGAAGTGAGGTGGTCTAACTCTGATCTAGGTCACCTCATGTAAAAACAATTAACTGTAAAATCTGTTTGAGATCTAAGTCTTCCTGAGTGTGTTTGGGCTTGCTCTGAAGTACAGAGAGCACTTCAGTATCTGGAACTTAGCCCTGGTGTAACAGAACAGAACCCTGTCCGAAATCTATGTGTGTTCTGCCTGGCTTATGTAGAAATGTCTTTGCTGTTGGCAACCCAGTTTATGTGCATCCAAGTGTGTTTCAGCATGGGTGCTGACAAATCATGAAGTAGAAGCAATAAGCTGATGGTCTCTCTCCCTCTACTTCCAGACACCCTTCCCTGCAGTTGCAGTATAAGAAGGGTTAACTAAAGTTTCAAGAAAATTTCCTGTAGTCCCAAGTGACATTTACAGAATTCCACTTTGGGTGTAAAAATAACCAACTCTAACCTCTCCTGCATGGCCCAGACAACAGTTGCTAAGAGGCTGCATTTTGATTTTATTTTCAGTTTTCTGATGGTAATCCTGTCCCACACCCCTTGTAAAATTATATATATGAAACTTCAAGTCTGTGAAGTTCAGTCAAATATTGACATGTTTTTCATGCAGAGCTTGTTTAATCAGGATTGACTTAATACTGCATTTATCTGTATTTGTTTTACAATCTGTTATGTTTATTGATACTTCTTATTCGTCTGAGTTTTTTTCCTTATTCAGTTCTGTTTGTGCTTCATGGTGAAATAGGAAGTGTTTGAGAGTATTAAACAATGTGTTTCCCTATGAGGTGTGCAAATGTGTTCAGTGTTAAATGTACCACTTAATCAGTTTTGCATGTTGTGAAAACAGAATTCCCTCCCAGGTGCACACTGTTTCACATTGTACAATTTATTGTCATCTCTGGTTGTAGAAAGTTGTTAAGAATTCAGTTGTTGCTTAACTTTTTTCTGTTCAGTTTAGTAACTTTTAAAATCAGCAAACTATTCAAAGCCATTTTCAAATATAATTTTATTTATTAATTTCTGTAGAACTGACACCCACAGTTGTACAGGGCTGGATGGGGACAGGCATTTTTACAGGTGTCCTGCAAACAGCCGGGAGCATGGAAGGAATGTCCTTTCTCTTTCCTGTATTCAGAACAAGGGGGTCTGGTACAAACATTGCCCCTCCCCACATAGTAGGAGGTACATGCAATGTTATAGGATGCCACGGCCTCATTCCCTTCTGCCCAAATCCGTTTGGATGGTAATATTATTTTCATCATATTTGGGAAAAAGAAAATTCCTCTTAGGGTCCCACTCCTTTGAGAATGTACAGCTCCTGGCTGCTTTTTGCAAAATAAGGTTGTGCCCTGGAGATATCGCTAATCCTTTAATTACTTCAGGCATCTTACTCAGACAAAACACCTTTTTAGAGGTGAAGGACTTGGGACCAGTGTAAACCTTTTCAGGGCTGTATGCCATAGATTTTTGAGCAGAAACCTTAACTATTGGATGTCCTCCTGTTTCAGTGTCAAGTCTCTTAAGCTGTAAAATATGCTGCAAAAGAACAGTTCAATGATTAAATAAATACCCAAAGTCTAGCAAGGTTTTAGTGGGATTGCTGTTAAGTCTTAAATGAGGATTGACCTTTAAAGCTAAGTGAAGTGATTTCACACTTCTCTGTTAGAGGCTGGGGAGGGAAGTTCCTTTAGGAATGATGGCAGAATTGAGTTTTCCAAATTCCAGCTCAGCCAGTCTTGTTGGGAGATGACTTAAAGTGGTATTTGTTCCCCATAAAAGTAGATATATTGCCTTGCATATAATGGTATGGTGCCTACTGTAGTCTCATCATATAATAGAGTGGGAAAAAACCCCAAACAATTCTAACAACAAGTTTGGGAAACCTGACCAGTACTTTTAAGCTGTTGTCTCATGGTGCAAGGAAGACCTTTTGTAGTGAGGCAAGATGGCACTGGAAAATGCAGGTGGATTTTTTCTTCACTGGAACTGTGAGTGAAATATCAGCCCTTTTAAACCAAAGCACGTTTGCTACTGACATCAGTGTCTCTTGTTTTCTGCCACCTATCTCAAGATTGGTTAGTCTTTAATTTGGTGTTCGGTTTTTTTTTTCAAAAGTCTATTTTCTCTCTGAACTAGAGTGCTTTTCAAGAGAAATAAAGAGAAATTTTGTAGTCTCTGTTCAGCAGGAGATTGTAGATGACCTTAACACTCATGTCTGGCCTTTAAATGTGAGGCACTCCTGAAGATATGATTTGCCTCTTTCAAATATACTTTGAGTGGCTGAGGAAGTAGTACTTCCAACTGAACATAAGTTTTTATGACAACCTATGTTTACTTTAGAGGTAAAAATTTATTGTCTGGTCTTGCACTAGTAAAATATTTGGAAGGCCTTGAGAGCACTGTAACGGCAAACAGAGCATTCACAATTTCCCTGATGGGCCAATTTTACTAATAGCAGGCATTTGGTGAAAAGAACCTCTGATGTACCAGCTAGATTCCAGATGACAACATTAGTGCACCTGCAGGTTTTAATTGGTGCAAAAAAGGGGAGAATGTTAGGTACCAATTACTCTCTCAAAGCCCGAGAATCAAGGATGTTTTTGGCAAGGAGGCTTCTAATTCCAGCATAAAATTGCACACAGCATGGAATAAACAGGGCCTGCATTATTTATCATGCATTAGGCAATTTTTGACTTGTAAAACTTTGAGAAGCTGAGAGAGGGGAGTCTTTGACACTGGACCCACTGCAAAGTTAATTATAAGTGATATGTCTGTGTTGCGGATTTAAGGATGTACAAGCACAGTGAAACATGGTAATTAAATACCAGCTCCCAATTCTGGGAGTAATCTAAATGTGGCAGTAATTGGGTAGTTGAAAAGAATGCATTGATGAGAAGATGATTATTACATGCTAGAAAATATCCCTGGTAATTTTAATCTTCTAAAATGAGCTGCACAAAATTCAGCTAATCTTTAACTTATATTCTCCAGCATGAGAAGAGCCTGGTGGGCTGGAGACAAATGCAGATGACATTTCTTGCCTTATTCTAATAAACAGTTTTTATAAAAAGCTGTGAATGACATCACAGAGAGCCCTAAGAACTTAACAGTGTAAGAATGTCATTCATAGATATTGAGAGTATCTGGTCATCATGTCAAGGGGAAAAGACTCACACTGATAAGTCCTTTTTGTTGAGATTTGTCTTAAATGCCAAGATTTTCTGCCTGTGGGAATGAGGTGAGACTTTGCAACGAGAACTTCAGTTCCTCAGAGAGAAGTTTGCATGACAAAATGGAGGGAACAGCCAGGACCTCTGGCTTTTATTTTTGGATGAACAGGAATGAACTTTGTAGACTGTGGCCCTCACTGGTTCCTGCTTACTTGCTGTGGGGGCGAACAGCTGGGCTGAAGGCCAGGCGGAGCTTGCGGGTTTACCTGGTGGATGTGAACAGTTCAGCAGCCTGTGGTTGGCTTTGGTAAAAAGTTACTGAAAGTCTTTTTACCAGATCTTCAGGCCATGTTTCACCATTAGGAGTGTAGCACCTGGCTTTTACTGTAGGATGTAAACAAGAGCCTGTTAGGGAATGGAAAGTTTAGGAAAAAAAAATGGGAGGGAGGTAAGTATCCCATGTTTAGTGCAAGGGCTGAAATACTGTGTTTGTGCTTGTTTTACCATATGCTCATTATCCTCCTTCCTGTAACCTGCTGTATTGTCAGTGTTCCTCTCTGGCTGGGAGGGCCCTGCTGAGCTAGTGTGGATAAAATAATTCCCAGTGTTTCTTTTCAACAATGGTGATGTTATCTGAGGTTAAACTGGGGGGAGGGAGGCAGATAATCCACAACAGCATTTGGTACATGCAGTTCTTTCACAGGAATGTCAGAAGGGATGAAGAGATGGAGGTCTTGAGTACTTGATTTCCTCAAAGTATGCATTCAGCTTGCTAACGAGATGGGAATGTCACCGTTTTCACGTTGTTGAAACAAGAATGTTCTGGGCTGGCTGAATGAACTAAGTGGCCTCTGCACCTCTGGAAAAATCAAGCATAGCACCTGACTCAAAAAACCCTGATGGAACTCCTTAGAAAAGGTACTTATGTGTTGGTGGTTGCCCTCCTTCCTGCATCCCAGCTGTAGTAAGAGATCAGCCGTGCAGGCAGTGTTAAGCCTGAGCAACTTCAGAGCCAAAGTTTTAACAGTGTTTGGCATTGTGAAACCCATCAGCAGTGTTGAAGATAACATAAAAGCAGTGAAAGTTACCTTTGCTTTTCATTCAGAGGCCAAAGCTTACCAACAAGTGGGGTCCTGAGGTGTCACAGTTGCCTCCATTCTTGCAACTCTGAGGCACCTGGAGTGTGAAGTTAAGTATCAAGCTGCTTAGGTCTTTCAGGAGTAAAGATATGACTCACAACCTTTATGTGTATGTAGGCATTGGTGCTGAGAACAGTATTCCTATGGACTCGGTGCCTTTTGGTGCTATGCAACAGCTGTTCGGAGCAGCTCACTGTTGAAATTAGGTTTTGTGTACAGGTTAGGTTCCTATTTGTTAGCTTTGTGTTCATCAGAGCCTTACATGCATTTTCTGTCACGTGCAGAGTAACTGGGTGTATCTCTACCTCATGCAAAAATGAAGGAGGCCTAATATATGTTTAATCAATACAGCCTCATACCTAGTCGCAGGCTTTATTTCTAACCATCATGTCTGATTATTCAGTAGGATTGGCTCATATTTATAACCACTGCATATAGCAGTAGTCTTATTAATATGAGAGCAGACTGTCTCCAAAAATACGGAGAAATGCAATGTGGGAAAGTTGCGCTCATTTTTTTTTTCCTGTCTTTGCTATGCTTGTTAGCAGTCACTCTTGGGTTTTTTCAACCCACTAAGCTACAGTAACAACTTTAATGCAAAATAAAAACTCTGTAGGACATGGCTACAAAATTTTTGAATCTTACCTTGACTCCTCCTTTGCCCAGCTTGCACACTGTGCCTCAACAAATGAGTTGGAACCTGCCTTTTCTGGCAGCCACCCTGTGCAGCAGGAGGCTGGACTTCATGGCACCCTGCTGTCCCCAAGGAGCTGTGCTCCAGGGGCCGGTGGCTTGAACTAAGTCAGGAACTGTGAGGCAGCAGCATTATTTTAGGATGCAGTACCAGAGACCATGGCGATGGTAGTCTTGTAGAAGTTGTGGTGCAGGGGGAAAGGTGGTGTCACTGGGCCTCAATCCATGCTAAGCAGATACAGTGGCTTGCTATTGAAAGGATTTCTGCACCCATTTCCTGATCTGGTTTAGTATGCTTGAGTTGGATACACAGACTAGTTTGGGTTGATTGGGACTAATGGAATTACTTATTTTTGATGGAAATTAATTCAGATTTAAAGATGTGAAAGTGAGGCTAAGTGAATATGGAGGAGTTCTTACTGCTTTCCACAGCCCCCTGTTTGCCCTGCCTCCATGCAGGAAGACAAAGCTGTGATGGTTTGTCCTGTGGACTGCCATGCAAAAGCCCCCAAGGCAGAAATGGGGCTGGTGGCTGTTAGTAAGACCCTCCACAACATCCAGCCTTCATTTGTAATGAAGCACTTAATGAACAGGGTGGTGGGACAACAGTCACAATCTGCCAGAAGTGTTCAGAAGGGAGCAGCTGAATTCAATTTCCTCTTCCACATCACATCTGGATGCTAGAGGAGACAGTAGTAGGGCCTGAACTGCACTGATGACCATGTGTCTCAGAGGACTGTACATGAATACTCTGCTTTTGCCCTTGTGAACATGGGCAGAATTTTTCCTAGGTTGTGTTGACCTTTATAAATAATCAATTCATCAAGATCTGAAGTGAAATAAAACCAAGAGATTTCTTAATTTTGTGAGGCAGAAAGCGAGTGTGAACAATTCCAAATGGAAAAGAAGACCCAAAAACTGCTGTCACACAAAACGTACTTGAATCATTTTATTTTCACTCGGTGTTATTTAGTTCTACTACTCAGGTCTCAATGTGGCACAGTAGGAAGATCAGAATGCAACTGAGTATTGCCTAACAGTTATGAGACTTAGCTACAGCATCTCTTGTTAAGTCGTTCTCGTTAATTGGGACAAGACAGCCTGGCTGCACGTCATCGTGTTGAGATTTAGAAACAATCTATGGTAGTTACAGTAAAGAGGAACAGCAAGACGCTGATAGCTGCAATTTTTTTTAATTTAAAAAAAAAAAGAGAACGCACCCGCGTGTGTTTAGACTCTGTAGTAGAGTAAGGATTTGTTGTAGCGTTTTGCCTTCCAAAGTAGTCATGCATTCCTGTAAATCAGTGTTTCTCAAACCTTGTGAAAGCGTGGCCTTCCTTTTTGCATCATCTGTCTTTATGGCCCTATAAAATTGGCATCATCTCAGTTTCTATGGGGCAGGGAAATGAGAAGGTTCTGTAATTACTGGCTACAAGTGTTTATGGACACTGAGCTGTGTCCAGCAATTAAAGGCATTTAACTGTTCCCTTCCTAACACAAACACTTTCAGACAATAATTACAGCCTGCTTTGCACTTTCCTGTCCTCCTCAAGGATTCCCCTGGGCCCTTTTACAACTCCTAAGGGTACTGTTGCTTGGAATTTGAGAAACACTGCTGTAAATCAAACAGGAACACGAGATAATACCTAATTTATGCAAAGCTGCTTTGCAAATAAGGTGCACCATATGCTTTGAAGACTTTCCATGCACTGGATACTTTCTTTTCTTACACTTGACTTTTGTTAATCTGTGTAGCATGGCTCGTTCACACAGTATTTCAGTATGGCTGCATGCAGTATATATGTCTGTGATGCTATGTTGCTATTCAGCGTTAGCACCTGCATAACATGTTAAATTAAAATAAGAGACTTGCTGTTGGAAAAAAAAAATCAGATTTAGCTCTAATGTTACAGCACATTGTACTGTCCTTTTCTGTATTCCTTGCTTCTGTTCATAGTTGCCTTTTCCTATATGTTACATATCAAATTTCAGTTAGTTTGCATGCAATCAGCTGTTTAGTTATGGCAGGAAAGAGATGTCTTGTGTGCTTTTCACTGAGTTGTATTAATATTTCCTACTGTATTCATTTGTGATTCTAACCGTTCCAGGGGAAGGAACATTAAACAGGTTGTATTCATTGTTCTAGGATTTACAAGAACCTGAGATGAAGTGGCACTGTGTGTTTTTTAGGATATCTTCCAACCCTACCCATGCGAAGGCCATTAGCTGAAGAGCATCTGCCCTGTAGTATTCTTGTGTAGAAGTTAGAAAAATAAACATTTGAAGGTTGCTTATTACATTTGAAAGAACCTAAACCCGTGTGCAGCTTCCTGACCTAACTCTGTCTTTATTTAATCCTAAGAAGCGCATGGCCCTTCTGCTAGGAGTGCTTCTTACTGCTCCTCAGACAGGCTTTGCTGAGAAGCAGTGTCTTCCAGGGCCATATCTTCTTGGCTGGCCCTTCTGCACTCCAGGTTCCGACTCATGCATATGGCATGGACTGGACCTGCCTCTCGCTGTGGTCTGGGTTCTGCAGCATCGGTTGCTTCACAGGTCTCAGCGTGTTGCTGGGAAGAAAGAAAGAAAAAATCAACTAGTTTAGGAAATTTCTAAGTAACACTTCAGCTATTTTTTGAAGTGACAGGTGAAAAAAAGTTAAAAATTGATGTAGGAATGTCATTCTGTGAAACTCCATGGGATTCTTAACATGCATTATTCACAAGGGACTTCTGAAGAGGTACTTGTCACACTTTGTGTAACGCATAAATTTGGAAGGAAAAGCAGACCAGGAGCTAGAGGTTTAGTACCACAGATGTACGTGTATAGAGAGCTGTAAAATAATTTGGATTGAAAAGGACTTCTGGAGGTCATCCAGTCCAAACTGCTGCTCCAAGCAGGGCTGACTTCTAAGTTGTTAAATTGGGTTGCTCTGGGGCTTGCTTTATACACTGAATTTTAAATCCAACTTAGAAAGAAACCTTTTCATCAAAACTTGAATGCAATTATCAGTCTGAAAACGTTAAGCACAGTGCCACCCCACTGTAAGGACTCCATTGGTATAAAAGCATTCCAGAACTGTGCTGTGCTAACATTTAAATAAAACACTTCCTCATTACTGCTTTGAATCAAACAGGCACCTGGACTCTGAGCAGTTACTCTGGCCAGGATTCACCTCACCTAAATTTAGCCATGTAACCTTAGTGTGTCATTTAGGCTGCCAATGGTTGGCAGAGAGATATGAGTCTCCCAGGGGAAAATTTGTTCCTAACAGCTCTTAAGGATGAAGTGGATTGGCCTCTCCATTGAATACAGAAGCCTCAACAACAATCTACTGAGACTTCATTCCCAAATTTTAGATGGCTTAAAGTAAGATAAGGTGAATGCTACAATTAATACTTAGTATTGCAGACTTGGCTGAGTTCTTGCAAATTAGACCATAAACTCTTGAGAGCCAGAATTATGCCTTGTCATTTGATATGTTCAGCTGCATGTGTAGAAATACTATTAATGCTTATTACAGTAACAAAGCAGGACTGGACCCAGATGAGTGATGTTAGTCAACTCCTGCAGAAGTTCATGGAAAAACTCGAGGGAACTGTACCATACATGGTATTTTTGGGTTGAGAGCCAAGTACACACAGGCTAAGGAGCTTTTTTCACTTGAGGTTTGGAGAATTATTTGGAAACTAGGGAAGTTATACACAGTTCAGAATGACAGTAACAGAAAAGTGAGTTGGACTTCCCTTTTACCAGTTTGGTTTTCATTTTGATAGGCTAAATGTGAGTGTCTAATTGTGTTGTCTAGTCACAGTCACCCTTCATTCTCTAGCTCATCTTCTCACGTTTCTGCTCTCTGGTCCTCAGGTCAAATTTTCAAAGTTCAGGACAGCAACTGATGTCAGCCAAATTTAAATGAATATACTTACATAGACAGTAAAAGGATAATACTGCTATGTGCACTGAATTTTCCAGGGAAGATGGGAATCGAACTGGGAGCCTACTGGGAAGAAGTCTGGAAGTTCTTTGTGTGTACTGTTTAATCACAGGGCATGCAGGTTTCCTTTGGTAAATAGTTCCTACAGAATTCCTTTCAGCAACAAGGTTTCAGGTCCTGGATTGAATTTCTGGTCAGAGAGGGGGACAAGAACAAGTGTCGTGTTCAGGGGGAACTGTTGTTTTTCCTACAAATAATTTTAATTCCTGCATAAGCAGGAAAGGAAGGAGCTATTTAGTCTGCTTATGACGGTACTCAGCACTTGGGCTGCAGAACATGGAGATTTAAGTCCCTGGTTTGAGTGAAAGAAAGGGACTTTGCCGCAGTTTGCAATTTCAGGTGTGTGAGTAACAGCCAACCTGTCATTTACTTACAAATACGCTCACTCTCATATACACACTAATATGAAACAGTCTCATTTTGATTGTGATGCTGCAAAATCCAAAACAAATACCAAAATCCTGGCATTGTTTTGGAAAAAACTATTTTCTGACCAGCGAGAAGGAAGAAACCAAATAGTGGTGAGGACAGTTGAAGAACAGGATGGCAGAGCAGTACAGGAGCTCACGCTTAGGGCCGCTGTTTTGGCTTCAGCCTTACCCGAGCTGCCTGACTTGCTGCTCTAGCAGAAGGACCCATGGCAATATTCATACTGCTGGATGACTGGGTGTCACTGGTGTTACCTCCATCTGCAGCTGAGAGCCCAGAAATCACCAAAGCACTTGAAAAACTTCTCTTGCCGAACAGCAGGCTGAGAGTTGAGCTGGTGGAAGAGGCCAGACTGGACCTGAGCATTGCTGCTGCTCGGTCCTGCACAGTCAGCTGGCCAGCAACAGGAACAGCAGGGGACTGGGAAAACACAGATGTTGCTGAATTGTGGAATGACAGCTGACTACTAGAAAGCCTTTGGGCAATTTCGTGAGCAGATGTAGATGTTTGGATGAAAGGCTGGCGGCTTTCTACAATTGGTCCAGAGTGACTTGAAGCTGGGGGCCTTTGGTTTAAAGCAGTGTGTGCCTGGACAGACTGACTCCTGGGTTTTCTCCTGCCTGTAAAAGAAAGATTAATATAGTTAAGTAAGTGGCATTCTGATGAACTCCATGCTATTGACAGTGTCCCATGTGTACATATTACTGTTGGCATATTACCACTAGTTTACCAGCATAAGAATCTCAAGAATAACAGGAGTAACATACTGCCAAATCTATGAATCTTTGTGTTTTCCACTACAGGGGTTCAAAGTTTTGGTCAGAATAGCCCTAGTGGTTCTGTACTGCGTCAAAAGAGAGGGAAATGAGAAAAGACTCCAGGGAAAGTACTCTAATGACAGGCTCACACCTATTCTGCCACATACATTTTAATAAGCCCAGTGAATGATTATGCATAGCTTTGCTGTAGCTGCTCCCTTTTGACAACCACACTAATGCTGAACATCTACCTTAAATGGCTTGGTGTAATTAAATGCAACAATAAAACCAAAAAATTAAAACAATGCCACATTAAAAAGAATTATTCCTGCATATGGGGAGAGAGAATTTGAGAATTGAACCAAGTGGAAGAATACAGAATTCAAGCCATAAGACAGTTTTTAAGACTCTACCTGAGTTCCAAAAGAGATATTTACAGTACACCACAGATTGAAAAGACATGAATGCTTCTAGTTAGGGTAGACTATTGGAGGTCTGAATGAGACCCACATAAGACTCTTGTCCCATTCTGTGAAGCATCTCAATGCAACCACTACTGGATAGAGAGTAGATTAGCTATGCTATTCTGACACGCCTAGACAAATTCTTCCTGTGCATATAGATCCCCATAGTTAACATTTATAACAACACCTTATGTCATTCAGGCAAATGATTTCTGCATTTCTTATGCTAGCATATTTAAATAGCCATAGAATGAAAAATCATAAAATACTGGCCAGTGAACCCACCAGATAGCTGCCTGTACCCAGGCGTTCTGCAAATGGCAGGCAGTGGGCTGGCATGTGCCACAGGCCCCAGAAGAGTTTACTGTTTCTGCAGACAGGCTCTAACCCAGGCTTACACAGCAAATACCCCGTCACGTGAGTGCCTGCTTGGCATTTTGCTTTCCAGAAAACTCCAAACATTAACACAAGCTGGCATTTTGGTTTCCTAGCTATAGTTGTGGGGTAGGGAGTTGATGCCAGAAGATCTGTTGAGAGCCATCAACACAGAAACAAGTTTTTCTGGCAGACATTTCCAGGCTGTTGGGAATATTTTTTTTTTTTTGCTTTGGTTTTCCCCAATACTTGAACTCCTCCAAACACTGAATTTTTGCTGGCATAAAGGAATATAAATCTCACACCATCTTCAGCAGTCACATGACTGCTGAATTCGTACAGGTTCAGCAATGCAGAATTTCATATCCAAGCTATTTACAGCATATAGCTGAAATACGCTGCTTTACTTCCACAGACCTCCTTTCCAGAGGCTGGTATCATTATCCCCATTTTTCAGATGCTGAAGCAAAGAGAATTTAGGTAACTTGGCATGGAGTCAGATAAGCAGAGCTGGGCTACACATAACTGGAGCTCTTTAGCTGGACTAAAACCTAGTTGGTTTGGCAAGTATTGAACACTTTCACACCTCATTTACAATGTATCTTTAGTTCTACTTTTATACTACAACTAATAAAATAGTAATTTTCCTAAGATGGCATGGAAAGCAGCGTTCTCTGTAATAAGAGCCCCAAGATCTCTGCTTGAGAGTGAAGGGACAGATGGACATGGCTCTTGGAAGTGCCTGGACAATGCTTTCAGGCACATGATGTGATTCTTGGGGTGGTCCTGTGCAGAGCCAGGAGCTGGACTTTGATAGTCCTTGTGGATCACTTCCAACTCCAGATATTCTATGATCCTATGGCTCCTGGGTACCACATTGCCAGTGTCCTCTGCCCTTCACCTGTGATCAACAGGGGGGCCGTGCACTGTGATGGGGGTCAGGCCTGGCTGCCATGCTGGCAGCTGGTCTCTGCAGGGATTCAGGTTCTTCAGACCCTGGAGTTTGGTTTAAGTGCTTTGGTTTCTACATCTGAAGGTTATTTTAATATGTTACCTTTTTTAAATAAAAAGAACAGACTGGAATTAAGAACAGAGGGGCTGCGGTGTGTTAGTTTGTGCAGGGGCTAACATGGCCCAACATCTGTTTGTGATTTAAACTGCCAAGCTGACCCCTCTCCAAAAGTATTCTATATTCATCCCAAAGGCAGTGGTTACAGCATTGGACAGGAGACCACCCGCATCTACACATAAATAACCCTGTCCCTGAAAACACTTAGGAAAAACAAAGG